CTCCCGGCCCTTGAATCCCCCCTCCTTCCCCCCTATTTCCCAGTTATACCCATCGATTACCCCCTCTCAGCCCCTGAATCCCCCCTCCCGGCCCTTGAAGTCCTTCCCTGAACCTCCAGCCATCGAGACTCATGTAGAGAACTTCATAAACAACCTGCAGTGGACACAAGATGGTGCCATAAACTCAGCGAAAACCTTCGAGATCCTCCACAACCTTGGAAAATTACCGCAGACTCCAGCGATTTATTCAGAACTCTTCAATCTCTGTCTGGAGGACTGTATCGAGGACGTCTGGAGTCTCTCCCCGACGCCAGAGGGCCTGAAACAGTTTCTGAATGGACTGAACGATGACCTCTCGATTCACAAGAATGAGATAATTCCCGCGTACTTCGTGTACAAGTACTACAACAAAATGGACGAGCTACTGCTGGTTGTCCAGCGGCTGCTGGAGAACAAGGTCTACCAGCGGGAGAAGAATTATCACCGGTGCTGTCGACATATCTCCATCGAGGAGAACCTGTTCAGGTTCGCGGTGTTCAATGGGAACTTGGCTGGTGTCAAGTACTTCTGGAGAAAATTGACGGAGGAGGAGAGGGGGCGGAACCTCCTGAAGATGCTGGAGGTGTCGCTGATGTCCTCGGGCAGTAGGAACGGATGGATCGCACCACTGAGGGTGCAGGAGTACGAGGAACACTCGGAGATATCGATCTTCCTCTTGGGTCAGGTTGATCAGGACGACCTGGAGGATTTGTTCAGTCCGCTGGAGAAGAAACGTGACTTCCTGATGATCCTCGGGGCTTTCGTCAACTTTCCCTGGCAGGAGTCCTTCATCTGGAGTGTAGAGAGGAACTTTCATCTTCTGGATGCTGAGAGCTTCAACTTCATCACCGCTGGAACACTCTATAAGGCCTGGAAGCACTACGAGACGTTTGGGGTCTCGATCCTGGAGAACAAGTACTTCAGCTACTTCAGGAGGATCTGGGAGAAGAGCTCGGTTGAGCTGAGGAAGAGTTACGGGGTGAACTACTGGAGGATCTTCTTCTTGCTCGGGAAGCTGAAGGAGTTCGAGGTCGTGAAGGAGATCTACCGGGAGGAGGGGCTCAAGGGGAGGATGAGGGGGGCCCTGGACGAGGGGGAGAGGTGGTTCAGAGTGTTCTATAAGAGGGACTCCATGGGATTCTGGTGGTGGTTCGAGGAGGAAGTGCTCAACGGTGACGGCGAGAGGAGAAGGTTCAGGGGAATGATCTGCGAGATACTGATGGAAAAGGAGAAGGATGATCTGTGGCAGGAGTACAAGGAGAGGGGGGAGAGCAAGGGGAGGAAGAGGGATATCAAGAGCAAGAAGTGATTCTAGGGGACTAAGCCCCCCTGATCCCCTAGAATCGCTTCGTAATCTCGATGAACCCCTGTTAATGGTTCACTAGATCTTTGAGAAGAAAGTGGAGGAATTTTCTTTGAGCAATTCAGGAGGAAGTTCTAGAGGTTTGGGAGGGAATTTTATTTTTGGGACTTTCTCAGAATAGACGGAGTCTAGGGGGAAAAGTCAGAATTTTTTTTTGTGGAGAATTTTCTACAAAAAAGATGTTCTGGAATTCAGGAGTAAATTCTAGGGGCTTTAGATGGGAGTTTCGTTTTTGCAGATCTAGCAAGGATTCCTTTCCTCCGCTAGGGAGTGATGGTCCAAAAAATATATGCGAGGGAAATAGGGGAATCTTATTCGAGAAGACCACGGGTGAATTCTAGGGGATAACGTCGTCGATTTGTTTTTTGAGAATATTTCGTAAAAGAAAGGATCTGAAAAGAAAAATCTTTTTTGGGATTGATGTTTACAGCGCGAGCATTTCCTCCTAGGAATTCCGGAGTGAATTCTAGGGTTTTTTTGCTCTCGGGAATATCCGAGGTATTTTAATGATCTAAAAAAATCTTTTGGTATTTTTCAGGAGGGGTGATAGTTCAGAGGGTGTCTGAAAAGATCAAGGGAAGGAATTCCATTTGAGGAATTCAGGAGTGAATTCTAGGGGTTTGAGAAAGCAATCTTGTTTTTTAATGTGAATAAGGCATAAGTGGACCGAAATGGGACTATAACCGGTAGATTTCATCGGAAATTTCCCCGGCTATCGAACGGGACGATTTTCATTCCAATATTTGAAGTCGTTTCGCATATATAACCGAAAACATGAAATCAGAGGAACTAGGGGGACGACGTGGGATAATAATAAAATTCTAAGGACTTCATTCACAAATGAGAAATTTTATTGTGCATTTTTGGATGTTGCTTACTCAAGATTATGATGTTAATGTTAAGAATATAATGTAGGTGTTGAGATATACCTCATGTCAGTGTAAGTACAAAATTTATTGGAAAATGGAAATGTTTAGTGTAAGACGCGAAATTTTTTATGTGTAGCTTTTTTAAGCATTGTTGTTGTAGTTTTACCGGTGGATAGTTTAATAAAATTTCAGTGGAATGTTTATGGTATTGTTTGCAAAATTTTAATAACCCCTTCATGAATCTGCATTTTTAGGAACATAATGACAACAATTCCAGTAGTTCACTGAAACATAAAATGAAATTAATTTAAAAAAAAAACATTTGTTCACTGGGCAATTATTCTGCGTATTTTCAATAAAAAAAAGTAACTATAAATTAATGAAGATAAATAAATATTTTCATTCTTTAATTTCAAATTTTCGAATATTTTATAAATCAGTCATTGACTTCGACAGACTGACGATTATTTAATCAATCAAAAAGTAAAATTTTGAAATTAAAAATGAATTGCTTAATTGTTTAATAATTAATAATTAAAATAATTTTCAAAATTTAATAACAATTAGCGAATTTTAATGAATTCTTTAATTATTTCGACATTAAAATATTCGAGAAAAATTAATTTACAGTTTTTCAATCATTTTTTCCAATAAAGGAAGGATTTGAAAAGTTTTACCCAACATATAAATTATGGAATAAGAAAAAAAAAATGTGAAAAATCTTCGTTCTTTATTTTTTCAAAATTCTCCCTAAGAGATCGATTATCACCCCCTCCAGCTCCTAAAATCCGAATTTCCTGCCTTACCGACGACCCACAATGCCCCACCAATCCTCGATAACCCATACCCTCCCTCTATCCCTCAAAAATTCACCAAAAATCCCTAGAACCGTGATTTCCCACCCTAAAACTCCAAACAAAAATTCAAAAATCACGAATAACGCTTCAACAACTCAATAATTTCCCCAACATTCATCATAACTTCACCCTGAAACGTTATTTATATCATGAAGAGAGGAATTACCGACCCCAGCGAACCGCAATCCCAACAAAACTGAATTTACACTTCCATTTTCACGAGTTTTTTGTCTCTCTCTCAGCAGTCATGTCCCTGTCGTCGCAACGGCGTGTCGTGACTCCCAAGTGCCAGACGGTATTTACGTCGAGGTCAATAAATTATCGAAGACACGAATGAGTGCGGAGACAGAATAGAATTGAGCAAAACAGAACAGAACGGAACAAGTGAGTGAGTGAGAGAACTTTTCATTCGATTTTGTGATTTGTTGTCCCCGGATTTTCAATTCAATCCGGAGTTTTTCGGCTTCTGGAGGGTTTATGCGAACCACAGACGTCACGTGACAATTATCGGTGAGTGTCGCATGTGCTCTATCTGTTTTAGTGAGTGATAATGGTGATAATGACAGGTGGAATGATCTGATTGCCAGAAGCTTTGACGTCGGGAATTTTTAAAGCCCTCGATTGAATTTCAAAACACCTGTTTTCGGGTTTTCTGAGGTGTTTGGGACATTTCGGAGGTCTCAGATTATTACATCAGTAGGTTTTGGTGGGCAGAATTGCGGGGAATGGGGGGAAATACGGGAATTGATTGATTTTTTAGTTGAAATTGAAGTAATTGAACGAGTCGATTTTTTGCATTTTGTGTAATGGGGAAGTAGCTCCGGAGTGAATGGGTTTAGGATAAAATGTTATAGAACATTTTTTGTGGAGAATTTTGTAAGGTATAAAAAAGTTATGTGACATTTAGCGATGGAAGCAGTTGTTGTCGAGATATTTAATGATTACTGAATGATAAAATGGTTGATATGCAGAAAAGGTTGAAATAATCGCGATATATGATGTATTCTTTAATTGAATTTTAAAACATCTGTTTTGGTTTTTTTTAAGTGTTTATGATATTTCGGAGGTCTCAGATTATTTCATCAGTAGGTTTCGGTCGACAGAATTGCGGGGAATGGGGGGAAATACGGGAATTGATTGATTTTTTAGTTGAAATTGAAGTAATTGAACGAGTCGATTTTTTGCATTTTGTGTAATGGGGAAGTAGCTCCGGAGTGAGTGGGTTTAGGATAAAATGTTATAGAACATTTTTTGTGGAGAATTTTGTAAGGTATAAAAAAGTTATGTGACATTTAGCGATGGAAGCAGTTGTTGTCGAGATATTTAATGATTACTGAATGATAAAATGGTTGATATGCAGAAAAGGTTGAAATAATCGCGATATATGATGTATTCTTTAATTGAATTTTAAAACATCTGTTTTGGTTTTTTTTAAGTGTTTATGATATTTCGGAGGTCTCAGATTATTTCATCAGTAGGTTTTGGTCGACAGAATTGCGGGGAATGGGGGGAAATACGGGAATTGATTGATTTTTTAGTTGAAATTGAAGTAATTGAACGAGTCGATTTTTTGCATTTTGTTTAATGGCGAAGTATTGAGGGAGTGAGTGGGTTTAGGGGAAAATGTTATAAGACATTTTTTGTGGAGAATTTCGTAAGGTACAAAAAAGTTCATGTGGCTTTTTGCGATAAAACCAGTCGTTGTCGAGATAGTCAACGATTAAAGAATGACAAAATGGCTCATCTAAAACTTGAAAAGATTGACGCAATTGTTAATCAGTGAATTATCTTCGGATAGAGTGGATTTAGAAGGAAATGTCATATACCATTGTTTGTAGGAAATTTCATGTTCTTCAAAAAAGTCCTTTAACGTTTTTTGATGCATCCACTCGTTATCGATATATTTAACAATTACTGAATAAAAGAAAATGGCTTATATGGGAATCTGAAATCCCCAGTCAACAATTAATTGTTTAATCATTTTTGGAGTGAGACTGTTTTTCGGAATTCCATAAATATTTGTCTAAATATTTATCCATAAAACCCCTTACTGTCGAAATAATGAAACAAAAATTGACAACTGCTGAAATTCTCCAATTATAAATACCGAATCTGGTATTAAATATGGTATAATTCTTATCTTCTCATTGTTTCACGCGGAAATAAATCATTAAAAATATATTTGTAACGAGCGAATACCCCGTGACGTGACAGTACAGTATTCTCAAGGCCGAGGAACGTTAAAAAAACATTATAACGGAGTTGCCAACTCCGTTATTCAATAATTCCCCTTAATTTTTCGTGAAAATTCCCAGGAAAAATCCCTGAAAAAAATCATCTCAACTCCAAAAATTTAATTAAAAATCATCTCATCTATATTTGCAAAACCCTAAACGTCTTGAAATATTAATACACACTTTTTCTCTTCCCAAATCAACAGGAAAAAAAGTAAAAAATTCAAAAATAATTTTTTCCATCTGCTTTTTTACGGAAAAAAATATATGAAAAACTTATTTATCATAAAAAATGTAGCTATAACATGCATTGGCGACTTTTTAAATATTTAGTAAAGGCAATTGCAATTGAATTTCCAGTTCCGTAACAAAATAATTCTCATCAAAACCTCAAGAAAAAATTAAAAAAAAAATTTCAATCATAAATAATTAATGAACAATTCAAGAGGTCCAACTTCATGAATAAATCATCAACAATCTCCTTCATATCTCCAAAACCCCAAACATCTTGAAAAAAAAATTCTTCTCAAAACCCAAAAAAAATAAAAAATGCAAAAATAATTTTTCCGTCTTCTTTTTATAAAAAAAAATGTGAAAAAATTATGTTACGACATGCATCGAGTATTTGCCAATGCCCAGACATAAAAAAATAAATAAGTGCATTTTTTCAAATTCAAATTTCATTATTTTCTAACACAAATTAGAATTCAAATAACTTAATTTCCATAGAAACCGAGAAAAACAATGTTTAAAAAATGGAAAAAAAAATGACCAGTCCATGAACAATTCCCTGCCGATGACAATGACCCCGAGGTCTTCAACCTTTCCAAAAAAATCTAGACCATGTCTATCGCCCTCCGTATGTTTGGAAAATAGACACACGCGTGAGGACAGTGGAGCAACGTAAACCGTAACCGATAATCATTCCCGAAAGACCCATATTTATCTTTTTATATTCCACGTCAGTACCCCAGCCCCCTTGTCTCCCCCACAATCAGCATAATGATAAGCCACGAAAAGCCGATTTTCCACGCAGCATTTTCATTCAATTGTTAGCAGAAAAAAAGTCATGAAAAATTCAAAAGAAGAAATAATGCAACTGCTGAATATTTTTTATCGCAATAAAACATCTGGAAATAGCACTGTGGTAGCACACGATCGATCCGCACATTTCCTAGGGATAAAACTCCCCTTTCACCCCGAGAACCCGATAATCAATGCATTTTCCCGTCTCGTCTGTTCCCATCCGTGCTATTTTTATCTCAAGACCAACAAATAAAATGTAGTTCAATAAAACCCTCATTATTCTGTAACACAAAATAGTTGAAAAAATAATTCCAGTTTCAGTTGAAAGCCGAGAAAATTTCCGATCCAAAACACTGGTCATGAATCCATTTTGCCCCACAAATTGTCCTGAAATTAATCTCTCAATATTATAAAAATCCAAATCAATTTCTGCTGATAAAAATTTGGGACTGAAAAATGATGCCTCCAATATTAAGGGTCATGAGGATCAGATTAAGGGTTATGAGGGTCAAAATAAGGGTCGCGAGGGTCGAAATAAAGCTCATGAGGGTCAAAATAGGAGTCACAAGAGATCGAGCAAGGATCACAAGGGTCAGATTAAGGACCCAAATAAGGGTAGCAAGGGTCAGATCAAGGGTCTAAATAAGTGTCACTAGGATGAGACTAAAGATCACAAGGATCATTTTGTCCCACAAATTGTCCTGAAATGAATTTCTCAATATTATCAAAATCCAAATCAATTTCTGGTGACAAAAATTTGGGACTGAAAAATGACGACTCCAAAATTAAGGGTCATGAGGATCAGATTAAGGGTTATGAGGGTCAAAATAAAGGTCGCGATGGTCGAAATAAAGGTCATGAGGGCCAAAATAGGAGTCACAAGGGACTGAGCAAGGGTCACAAGGGTCAGATTAAGGACCCAAATAAGGGTAGCAACGGTCAGATTAAGGGTCTAAATAAATGTCACTAGGATGAGACTAAAGATCACAAGGGTCATTTTGCCCCACAAGTTGTCCTGAAATGAATCTCCCTATATTATCAAAATCAATTTCTGGTGATAAAAATTTGGGAGTGAAAAATGATAACTCCCAAATTAAGGGTTATGAGGGTCAGATTAAGGGTTATGAGGGTCAAAATAAGGGTCGCGAGGGTCGAAATAAAGGTCATGAGGGCCAAAATAGGCGTCACAAGGGACTGAGCAAGGGTCACAAGGGTCAGATTAAGGACCCAAATAAGGGTAGCAACGGTCAGATTAAGGGTCTAAATAAATGTCACTAGGATGAGACTAAAGATCACAAGGGTCATTTTGCCCCACAAGTTGTCCTGAAATGAATCTCCCTATATTATCAAAATCAATTTCTGGTGATAAAAATTTGGGAGTGAAAAATGATAACTCCCAAATTAAGGGTTATGAGGGTCAGATTAAGGGTTATGAGGGTCAAAATAAGGGTCGCGAGGGTCGAAATAAAGGTCATGAGGGCCAAAATAGGAGTCACAAGGGACTGAGCAAGGGTCACAAGGGTCAGATTAAGGACCCAAATAAGGGTAGCAACGGTCAGATTAAGGGTCTAAATAAATGTCACTAGGATGAGACTAAAGATCACAAGGGTCATTTTGCCCCACAAGTTGTCCTGAAATGAATCTCCCTATATTATCAAAATCAATTTCTGGTGATAAAAATTTGGGAGTGAAAAATGATAACTCCCAAATTAAGGGTTATGAGGGTCAGATTAAGGGTTATGAGGGTCAAAATAAGGGTCGCGAGGGTCGAAATAAAGGTCATGAGGGCCAAAATAGGCGTCACAAGGGACTGAGCAAGGGTCACAAGGGTCAGATTAAGGACCCAAATAAGGGTAGTAAGGGTCAGATTAAGGGTCTAAATAAGTGTCACTGAGACTAAAGATCACAAGGGTCATTTTGTCCCACAAATTGTCCTGAAATGAATCTCCCTATATTATAAAAATCAAAATCGATTTCTGGTGATGAAAATTTGGTACTGGAAATTAAGACTTCAAAACTAAGCGTCATGAGGGTTAGAGAATAAGCGTTATGAGGATCAAAATAAGGGTCGCAAGGGTCAGACTAAAGGTCATAATGATTAAAATCAGGGGCACAAGGGTCGGATTGAGGCCCAAATAAGAGTAACAAGGATCAGATTAAGGGTCACAAGGGTCAGAGTAAGGGTCTAATTAAGGGACATGGAGGTTAAAAAACAAAGGTCAGAAACTAAGACTCGCCGGGGTCAAAATAAGGGTCACAAGGGTCAGATTAAGGATCACAAAGATCAGATTGAGAGTCCAAAATAGGATTACGGGGGTCAGAAACTAAGCGTCACGAAATTAAAACTTCAAAATTAAGGCTCAGAAATGAAGGGTCACGACAGGTATAATGAGGGTCACGAGGGTCAAATTAAGGGTCACAAGGGTCAAAATAAGGATCATGGGGGTTATAACCCCCTAGGAAGAAATAAAACTGCCGATTCTTTTTTTCGATTTTTCGGCCGAATCCAAGTTTTGATCGGTCTCTTAAGGAGTATGGAAGCAAAATGGGTTTATGACCAGGGTTTTAGATCAGAAATTTTTCAGACTTTCGAATGAGACCAGAATGGCCTAGATAGGGCCCATGGCTCCCGAGATATTCAAGTTTTTGTGAAGGGAGAATGTGTTTCCGTGTTTTCTTGATAGATAATTACACTCTAGAGTGTTCCATTTTACTTTCACTGATGTAGTGACTGTAAAACGCGTGGAAAAATTGTTGGCGGGGAGTTGTGAGGTAATACCGGGCTTTCGATCGGTTAACTGACCTGCGTCGGCTCGAGCCGATCGATGTGTCCTCGACCCTAAGCGAAATTTCACGTCTTGGAGAGAGGATCAATTTGTGTTTACGCTGCGAGGGGAGTAACCGATTTGTAAGAGGGAAGCCTCGCGTTTCATGTCGAGTAAGTGCATTATGCAAGTGGGGAAGATGTCTGGGAATTCTGAGTGAGGGAGTTATTCAATTTGCTGAGAGAGAATTTGATCGAAAACCGTGGAAATAAGAATTTCAGAGGATTTGATGCGGTTCAGTCATTTCTTGTGGAGAATTTCATTATCTGAAAAAAAAATGTTGAGATATTTTTTTGTGACTCATTATGAGATTTCTGGTGATTAAGTCTTGATGATGATGATGATGATGATGAAAGCATTTATTAAGTTCTGGGGCATGATAATCCCTGCAAGCATTAAGTAGTACATTTTCTATTACAATATTATTAAAAGTCATGAATAAGACACAATAAATTCTAGTCAGTCAGTATTTATCAAGAGGAATTTTTCACTCAAGTTCCCTTACATTAATCACTTATAAATTTTTTAAAATCAATAATCACATTATTTTCTTCAAAATCATACTTTGCAATTGTTGAGAGAGCGATAGGGAATTTTTATAAATTTTAAAAAAACCAATATTCAGGGAGAGGTAAAGAATTTCAACGTTGGGGCAATGTTGGGTCCCAGCGTTGGGACAATATTGGCTGCCAACGCTACGGTAATGTTGGTTATCGATGTTGGGGCAATGTTGGTTACCGACGTTGAGGCAATGTTGGCTATTAACGTTACGGTCATGTTGGTTATGGACATTGGGGCAATGTTGGGTCAATGTTGGCTGCCAACGTTACGGTCATATTGATGACCAATGTCGGGACAATATTGGCTGCCAGCGTTGGTTCAATATTGGTAGCCAATGTTGTGTGAATATTGGCTACCAAACGTTGGGACAATGTTGGCTGCCAGCGTTGGTTCAATGTTAGCTACCAACATTGGGGCAATGTTGGTTACCGACGGTGAGGCAATGTTGGCTGCTAACGTTACGGTAATGCTGGCTATGGACATTGGGGCAATGTTGGCTGCCAACGTTACGGTAATGTTGAGTGCTAATGTTGGATTAATATTGGCAGCCAACGTTGGGCCAATGTCGAGTGCCAACGTCGGGTCAATGTTGGCTACCAACGTTGGGCCGGGGTTGGCTGCCAACGTTGGACCAATATTGGCTGTCAACGTTGCGGTAATGTTGAGTACCACCGTAGGGTCGATGTTGGCAGCCAGCGTTGGGTGAATATAGGCTCCCAATGTTGGGCCAATATTGGCTGCCAAGGTTACGGTAATGTTGAGTGCCAACGTTGGGCCAATGTTGGCTGCCAACGTTGGGCCAGTATTGGCTGCCAACGTTATCCCAATATTAGCTGCCAACATTGAGGTAATGTTCAATTCCACGGACCATAAAATTAAATTTTAAAAGCATCGTCACAGACCTTTTATTCGAGAGCAAATTGCCAATTTAATACCAATTCGTCGGTATAACACCAGAAACCGAAAATTTAAATTTAAAAAATTCCAGATCTTCCACTCGGAGCCGATAATTCAAAAAATCCATAAATCTTCATTTCGGTTTTCCAGAGTAAAATGGTCCGTCAGGGGCTGGAGCGCAGTCCCAGTTCATCGTCCCTGCGCTCGGGGTCAGTCACAACTCCGACATCTGGGACTCGTGCACCGGTAACATCCCCCACGAGTCCTGCCTCCCCTCTGTCACCAGGACTAAATGGCACATCTAGGAGTGTAGAGTTGACCTCGCCAACCTCCCCTAACGACTCTCGCATACCCCGACCATCCCCAACTGCTCTGCGTCGTTCCTCGAGCATGCGCGTACGTGGGGAACGCGTGTATCATCATCACTCACGCACTGGAACACTTGGCTCGAGTACAATTCAGGGGTATCATCAGAGGCACAGCGGTGGATTGCAACAGTATCAACCGGATTTATTTCCCGCAATCACGGAGAATGGAGTTGACTCACCGAGACACCGATCACTCGTGAGTTTTCAGTTATTTTTTCATGATTTTATTCGGAATTTTATCGAGGTAAAGGATTTTTCAATGATTTTTTTGTGATTCGAAAGAGAGAATTACAGAGTTTTTGGTAATTGTTGAATTATCTCAGTCACGAGTGGAGATAGGGGAAAATGTCATAAGATATTTTTTTTTGGAAATTTAATTCGCTGCAAAAAAGATTTTTTTATATTTTTTCGTAGAGTCGAAGGTTTTGGAGATAATTGGGTAATTAGTGAAGGGGAAAATTGTCGGTTTTGAGTGGAGAATATTTGATTGTTATTGTTAGGTAATTTCATTGTTATTGTTAGGCAATTCTCTTGTTAATGTGAAAAATTCACGGAGACACTGATCACTCGCAAGTTTTCAGTTATTTTTTCATGATTTTATTTGGGATTTTATGGAGGTAAAGGATTTTTCAATGATTTTTTTGTGATTCGAAAGAGAGAATTACAGAGTTTTTGGTAATTGTTGAATTATCTCAGTCACGAGTGGAGATAGGGGAAAATGTCATAAGATATTTTTTTTTGGAAATTTAATTCGCTGCAAAAAAGATTTTTTTGTATTTTTTCGGAGAGTCGAAGGTTTTGGAGATAATTGGGTAATTAGTGAAGGGGAAAATTGTCGGTGTTGGATGAAGAATATTTAATTGTTATTGTTAGATAATTATTTTGTTATTGAGGAAAAATTTCGAAGGAAATTTTTACGGAGTATCTAATTGACTTCAGACATATCATTTAATAATTTCCTGTAGCACCACTGAGATATTCTCAAATTTCTTAAGAAATTTCCTTTCAGTTTTAAGTAAAACGATCACCTTCATCGAATTTCGAATGATTCCATCGAATAGCTGAGAAAATTTTCGACAAAATCCTCTCTAAAAAGATTCTTTCCCTCTATAATTTACTCAAACACTCTCAATTTTTCATTTTCGCCTAAACATCCTCAAGTTTTTAAATCAAAGTTCAATAGAATTCAAAATTTTTTATCAAAAAGACAAGAATTTTCTAACTTTCTTCATCAAAAAAATCAAAACATGAATATTCAGCTCCAAATTACTCAGGATGTTCAATCAATTGAAGATTCCAGAATAAATTTACCCAAACCTTCCTAATTTCATGAATTTTCCTGGAATAATTGAACCCAAACTCACAATTTCCACTGATTTTTTCATCAAATTGTGAATTTTCAACGACAAAATTCTCCTAAATTTCAATGTAACTGTCACTGGGTGGAATTTTTCAAAAACTCTGCCCGAAATTTAAGCAAAAATTCTTCAACAATGGAATCCATTCGCTCAGCGAAATCCTCAGAGAAATAAAACAAAATGGAATTGGTATTTACACGACCTCTCCATCGACACAATCTCCATAAAACCACTTCCACCTTGGACTTCCACTGAAAATTCATGCACCTGGAGAACTAGAGCAAATCGATACCACCCAGGACTCATCGTCCTGCGTACCTGTTGCCTCTCACCCCCTCTCCGACCTTGCCCACTCAAAAAATCCTCGGAGAACCAACAATTTTCGAAATTTTCGGAATTTCTTCTCAGTTTTCTTCTCAATTCCAAACAAACAAATCAATTCTTCATAATTATGTCATGAAGACTCATGTTTAGTGGAATTCTCCCACTTTGGTTGAACAACTGGAAATATTTCCGATCCAAAACCCTGATCATTACCCCATTTTGCCCCACTAATTGTCCTGAAATCAACAAAAACTAAAAATACCGATTTTTTCTCTCGATTTTTACGTTTTGATCCGCGTCTTAAGGAGTATGGGGGCAAAACGGGATCAATGCCAGTGTTTTGAATTGGAAATTTTCCAGGCTTTCGACTGAGCCCAAAAAAATCTCGCTAGGACTTGTAATTCCTGAGATAGTTATATTTTTGTGAAGAAAAAATTTTACTTCATTTTTAAAAATTTTTTTAAGGCCCGGGTGTATTATCTTTCGAAAGTTATCTCGATATTTTTTTTCATCTTTCGTCATCTGAAATTGTCAATTGAGTCCTGCATCATGCAGAAGTTTTGAAAAATTATGAATGAATAATTTTAAAAAAGTAGAAAAAATTCTCAATTTTTTCAAAGAGCATTTTGAATTTATATTCAGAATAAGTTGAATAACAAGAAATTGAAAAATGTATCTGATTTACGGTAACAAATGGCGGGCTGTCACCCAATATCATGCAGGGGGAAGACTGATTTCGTAAATCTTTTCCCACACTGCACAGAGACATTTATTACGGAAAAGGCTCTTTGAAAAAAGTTGTAATATTTTGGAGAATTTTTTAATCACACTTTTATCACATAAAAATGGCAGATGACTACATACCACTGTTTTGAAAATTGAGATACCTAGCTGTCACTTCCCATGAGGAGTTAGTGTTTTGTTATCCACCATGGAAAATGACAGCTAATAGATAATTTGCCACAGCCAATCAGATATTTGTAATTTCCTCTTTTTTCAACTCATTCTGAATCTCAATTAAAAACGCTCTTCGAAAAAGTTCAGAATTTTTTCTATTTTTTTTATCATTCCATCATAATTTTTGGGAATTTCTACATGATGTACCACTCAATTGACAATTTTGGATTACGAAAGATTTAAAAAATCCAGATAACGTTCGAAAGATAGTACACCCGGGCCTTAAATTTATTTATATATTTTTCTATATTTAGTTGATTGATTGATTTTCGTGTGAACAAAAGTTGTACTTTTACATTTGTATACTTTCTGGTAGGATTCGATGGGCTTTTGCCTGAAGTCTTAATAAATATCCAATAGCCAATAGCGAGAATGTGATTCCGTGTTTTGTTGATGAGTTATTATAATTTTATTTTCTCACTGACGACTCAATGAATCAGAATTCATCAAGATAAATGATTTAAAACAATCAAATCTTCTCATTGTGTCACTCCCCCAGGCCCTCTCCCTAAAAATTGAAAAAAAAAATTAAAAAAGAAAAAAAAACAGAAATTTCTTGAAATTTCTAAATTTTGATTACAAATCGATAATCAAATTAATTAAAATTTTGATTTAGAAATCGATTGAACTTTCTTAATAATTTTTCCACCCCCCGTTCACCCCCTCCCTCCCCTCCACCTCTCACGAAACCGGAACAGAGGAGAAAATTGAATTTCCTGAGAATCTCGACAATTTTTTCTACCAATTTATCTCTCTAAATTATTTAAAAAACCATTAAAAATTTTTTTGATGACTCAATGAGGGTTGATAAATGTGTTGGGAGTGGGCGGAGGTTTCGGTGAAATTTTCCGAATGTTTTTCAATTTTTTGGACCGAATTTTCGTGGTGTAAAGTCGGGGTGATGGAGCTGGAGTGGAGACACCCTGACCTTTGTACACTGATGCGTCGGCGCAGACACCCCTCTTTTTTTTATTTTCCTCTCCTAACCCAGGTTCTACTCAGTGTTTACGGAATCCTCCGTTGACCTCCGTCCAACTAGACACAGTGGCCTAATTACCAAAAAATAAAAATAAAAACAAAGTGCGCAGATCTAGGGGAAGTGGAGCATTAGTCCTGAATTTTCCCTCCAATTTCGAGTTTTTCAAGTGATTCGTGGGATTTCAAGGGGTGGGGGTGATTTTGGTGGCTTCATGGAAGACTGGCGAACGATTTGTGAATGTCCAGATGTCGGATCTAAGGGGAAGTGATCCGAGCGATGGGAGGAATGCGCGCAGTTGTCCCTCAGTAAGTTCAGAAAAATCGTGATGAAGAGATGAAAATGTAAAGAGTCTTGAAGGGCTGGAGAAACAGAGAGAGAGGGAGAGAGAGAGAGAGAGAGAGAGAATTGTCAGTACTGTAGTTTCAAAATTATGAAATTACAAAATTCAAAACATAAAGACAATCTATTTTGCCCCATCAGAGATTTCAGTCCAATTTTTTTCTTCAGATAAACGAAAAAAGGAAATGAAAATTAAGAGATCTGGGTTTTAAAAAAAATTTTACTGCCTCCAAATGAAAGCTTTGTAATCGTTTGAATTTGATGAATTGATGGAATTGAATTTTTTTTTTTCAGATGTAGGTATTATTGAGCCCTATCGATCGGCATTAGTTAAAATTCAATTCAGCAGTGAAGTGGTAAACCGGTATAAGTCGATTTTGACTATTGCCCAGTTTTCAGTGAATATCTCAAAATCTAAGGGAAATAGCAAAATTTTTGTCATAACCTTTTTTGTAGAGCAAATTGAGAGCTACAAAAAAGGAAATAACAACAATTTCGCTATTTCCCTTAGATTCCGAGATATTTATTGAAAACTGGCCAATAGTCAAAATCGACTTATACCGGTTTACCACTTCACTACTGAATTTAATCGGTTGTCCCACGATAACTAAAAAAAATGCTCTGAATTGATTGAATGATGTCTGACAAAATTTGTTTGGATGTCCTTTTGACCGAGTTCGAAGATGAAAGCGATCGCAATAATCGTTATTTTGATTAATTTGAAAATTTGCAAAAATTTTGTATTTTTTGAAAATCAGAATTCCGGGGATATCTTTGAATATCGTACTTCAAATGACTTCAATCATAGCTTAAAATGTTTGTTTCAATGCCATTAAGTCCAAGTTAAAAGATGATTACGATAGCTGTATTGGTTGATTTGATTTTTATGATGATTGTTGAAAATTTCCAATTTCCCATGAATTTCCCTGAAAGTGAGCTTTCCGATGCTTTCTTCAAATGTGATGTTTCAAAGTCATTCAAGTATGTGTAAATAAAATTTTTCTATTAACATTTTATCGAAGGGCTGAGGGGAGCAATAGAACCGTAAAAAAGACAATCGGTTGTACAGAAGAAAGGGATAATAAGAATAATGATGATGATAACATTCAACTGAGTTGAAAATCCGACAAAATTAGTTGAAAAGAAATCTTATTCAATTTAATAAAATGAAATACACAATGAATTACACATGATAGGAGAAAATGATGTGCAAAATAACCATTCGGAAGCACATTGCTAATTTATGAGCAAAAATAACTGTACTGTATGCAATAAAAGAGCAATTTCCCACTTGTTTCGGCCTTGCGACAAAAACAGCCATTTGACCCGCGGGAGGAGTGGAGCACTCGCCGAAGGTGAGTGCTACCCCCCCCCCAATGGTCAAAGAACACTTTTCCCAATTTCACTTTACGCGCAAGTGAAAAAAATTAAAATTTAAAATTCCGTAAAAAAATAAATCGTTGGCTCAGCCGTCTCGTCTTAATTGAGCAAGCTCTCGCTCAGTTTCGAGTTATTGATGAATATCTTCGAACCAAACGGAGATAGCAAGATTTTCTTGAGGACCTTTTTTGTGCAGCAAAGTTCAATCTACAAAAAAAGTTCTCATCAAAGTCCGCCTATCTCTCGTAGATTCGGAGATATTTTCGAAAAACTGATGACGAGATAAGCTTCACCTCGGAGAAGCCCTTCAACTCCACTTCACCCTTGGCTTTTCTTCACGAAGTAAATTTTTACCCTTCCTCCAGAGTCTATCACTGACACCAGCAAGGCCGCGTCCCCATCACGCGGCGAATTCCACCCTCCCGAACGACGACAGTGACCTAGACAGTTTAAAGAGTTACGGTAGTGCATGCAGTACAGCAAGTGCCTGTGATCACGCACACTTCGCCCTGAATGGCACAACCTGGTCGGGACGAAGCCGAAAGTATGTGGTTCACTGCTCCAATCAGAGTGGCGATAGCGGAGAGTACCTGACACCCACCCAGAGGGCAGCGAAGCAGATTAGAAGGTAGGAATGGGGGTGGAAATGTTTTGGTCATCGACTGTCATTTGACAGCGATTGACAGTCATTCGGTATTTGTTGACAGCCATTGACAGTCACTAACACTCGTATTGAAGCAGATTAGAAGATAGGAATGGAGGTGGATATGTTTTGGTCATCGACTGTCATTTGCCAGCGATTGACAGTCATTCGTTATTTGTTGACAGTCATTGACAGTCACTGACACTCGCATTGAAGCAGATTAGATGGTGTGAGTGGAGGTAGAAATGTTTTGGTCATCGACTGTCATTTGCCAGCGATTGACAGTCATTCGGTATTTATTGACAGCCATTGACAGTCACTGGCACTCGCATTGAAGCAGATTAGATGGTGTGAGTGGAGGTAGAAATGTTTTGGTCATCGACTGTCATTTGCCAGCGATTGACAGTCATTCGGTATTTATTGACAGCCATTGACAGTCACTGGCACTCGCATTGAAGCAGATTAGATGGTGTGAGTGGAGGTAGAAATGTTTTGGTCATCGACTGTCATTTGACAGTGATTGACAGTCATTCAGTATTTGTTGACAGCCATTGACAGTCACTGACACTCGCATTGAAGCAGATTAGATGGTGTGAGTGGAGGTGGAAATGTTTTGGTCATCGACTGTCATTTGACAGCGATTGACAGTCATTCGGTATTTGTTGACAGCCATCGACAGTCACTGACACTCGCATTGAAGCAGATTAAATGGTGTGAGTGGAGGTGGAAATGTTTTGGTCATCGACTGTCATTTGACAGTGATTGACAGTCATTCGTTATTTGTTGACAGTCATTGACAGTCACTGACACTCGCATTGAAGCAGATTAAATGGTGTGAGTGGAGGTGGAAATGTTTTGGTCATCGACTGTCATTTGACAGTGATTGACAGTCATTCGTTATTTGTTGACAGTCATTGACAGTCACTGACACTCGCATTGAAGCAGATTAGATGGCGTGAATGGAGGTGGAAATGTTTTGGTCATCGACTGTCATTTGACAGTGTTTGACAGTCATTAGATATTTGTTCACAGCCGTTGTCAGTCATTGTCACTCGTTTGACAATCGATGATTATAATTTTACAATTATCGACGGATTATGAGTTATTTGACAGTCATCTCCAGTCATTGACACTTGTTGACATCAATTGACAATTCTTAACAGCTATTAATTGTCATTTGATAACTATTGGAAAACATTCAAAATCCCTTGATGATCATTAACGGTTATTTTATAGATATTTGATAGCCATAATCATGAATCGCCATCATTACCAAAGATTTGACAGGCATTGACAGTCTTAAACGACTGCCACTGACAATCATTAATGATAATTTAACAGTCATCAAACATTCATAGAATTTTCACAGCCCCTGACAGTCATTTGAGAACATTTGGGGCGGTTATCAAAAGTCATTAGCGGTTATTTGACAGTCAGTAGCGGTCATTTTACAGTCATTTGATAGTCACCAGCAGTCATTTTACAGTCATTCTTCATCCCTAGGTCCCAGACACTGCCCAACAGTGTTATCAACAGTCATTAGCGGTCATTTTACAGTCATTTGACAGTCATAATCAGTCATTTTACAGTCATTCTTCATCCCTAGGTACCAGACACTGCTCAACGATGCGAAAAAGGAGATCGACGAGAAGGACCGAGAAATTTTGAGACTGACGAAGGAAGTTGTTGAACTGAGACTCTACAAAGCCTCTCTGAACAGCCCCGACGAGAGGACTGACTCCAGTGATGCCTTAACTGTCAAGGAGAACAACCCCTTCTCACCCGAGAGTCCCTGCAAGGATCTTCCTGAGGAGAATGGGGAGAAGAGCCCCAGGTCCCCTGGAACCCCCGAGAAGAGGGTTGAGACTGATTTGACACTCTCTCTCGCTGATTCTGGACACTTCGAGGATGAGTCCATTCACTCTAAGGAAGAGGGCGGGGGGATTTGTGAGGCTGGGAGGGTGGAGGCAGTTGATGGCAAGAGGGAAGGAAACGAAGAGGAGAGGAGGAAGATTGTGGGCCTCTACGAGGGGAGAATCGAGGAGATGCACAGGAGACATGTGGATGAGGTGCAGGAGATCAAGCAGAAGCATAATGATAAGGTGAGGACAGGGGGGCAGAATGGGCGAGGGGTTGGAGGGAATGTATAGGGGGATTTTATGGAATTTATTCAACTAAAAAGAAATCCCTTATAGGGAAATTCCAGAAGACATTATTTGTTGGTAATTTTTATTCTTTTTCATTCTTGGTTTGGAATAGTTTGTAGAAATTCATAAATTGATAATGATGAGAGGATTTTTTTGGTTCTATTCAACAAGCAAAATATCAATAGGGGGCTATAAGGAAATATGAAACGACATTATTGTTTTGAGAAATTTAATTCTTTGTAATTCAATGGTCATGTCAATCTCCCAACATTTTTCAATAAAATCAATTCGTTTCGGGATAATAAAATATTGACTTTCAGGTTGAGAGTCTACTAAATCAATTGCAAGACGTGAATACTCGTTACTGTGAACTACGTCCGTCCATGGATGCGGCTCTGGCGAGGGTGAAGGAGCTTGAGGAAGAGCTGGAGATCACTAAGGCACAATTGAGTGAGCAGATGACACTTTTAGACGAGCAGGAGGAGAGGAATAAGCAAATGTACCTGAAAATGTATGCCAAAGGGCAGGAAGCTGCTAGGTTGGAGCAGGCAGATCAGGTGAATTTCCAATTTCAATAAATTTAAGGCCCGGGTGTACTATCTTTCGATCGTTATCTCCACGTTTTTTTTCATCTTTCGTCATCTGAAATTGTCAATTGAGTCCTGCATCATGCAGAAGTTTTGAAAAATTATGAATGAATAATCAAAAAAAAGTAGAAGAAATTCTTAATTTTTTCAAAGTGCATTTTTAATTTATATTCAGAATAAGTTGAATGACAAGAAATTGAAAAATGTATCTGATTTACGGTGACAAATGGTGGCCTGACACCCAATATCATGCAGGGGGAAGACTGATCTCGTAAATCTTTTCCCACACTGCACAGAGACATTTATTACGGAAAAGGCTCTTTGAAAAAAGTTGTAATATTTTGGAGAATTTTTTAATCACACTTTTATCACATGAAAATGGCAGATGACTACATACCACTGTTTTGAAAATTGAGATACCTAGCTGTCACTTCCCATGAGGAGTTAGTGTTTTGTTATCCACCATGGAAAATGACAGCTAATAGATAATTTGCCACAGCGAATCAGATATTTGTAATTTCCACTTTTTTCAACTCATTCTGAATCTCAATTAAAAACGCTCTTTGAAAAAGTTCAGAATTTTTTCCATTTTTTT